TTCCTATCTGGTTAGCTCTGTCTTCATCTCATGGCCCCAGCAGGTTCCCTTGCCTTCCTGTGAGACCAGACAAGCATTGGTAGGTCTCGTGCTCCATTTCTTACATTTGCATAATAAGCATATTGTCAGGTGTCCAGCCTGCTGAACTGTCAGACCTGTGTGCGTGTCCACCCAGTGGCTACCCCCTTCAACATGGCTCTGTTTCAGCCCTCTGTCAGGCGTGTATCACACACATATGGTTTGTAATACCAATATGAGAATGTGTGCAGAGTCAGGACCCTGGTAGGTGTGTGTCAGGGCTGGAATTTGAGCTCCTGTTTTAACAGGGGTGCTGTGGCTAGGTGGCATGGAAGGTGGAGCAAAGTGGTCCTGGCACAGTGAAGCCATCCAGTCCACAGGCAAACAGGCTTACGTATCTGCAGCGTGGGGTGTAGGGTACGGGGTGTGGGGAGGGGCATACAGGTTGTTTGCATCTTAGCAGCCCAGGTGAGGGAGGCCATGAAGTAGATGATGGGTGGGTGGGAAAGGGGTGTGTCTGAGTGTGGGTCAGAGTAACCTGAGGCTCAAAGCAACTTGGAGGTTGCCTTATCCACTTCCTCCCCCACTACTTAAGACACCTTCATCCCAACATCTTTAAACACTTCTCCCCACCCATCATACCTGGTCAGTGCTGCTTCATTCACTTGCTCTGGGCTAAGGAGCCTTTTCAAACAGGCTGCCTGCCCTCAGTCTTATCCACCCTGGCTCTGAGAGCGAACTTGCTAACTGCTCACTGGGGTTCGCATTGAACATAGGGCTTCCTGCAGACTGCTTTGGTTCATCTCCATTCTGTACAGTAGATGCTGCTGTGAACCCATTTTGCAGGTATAGAGACAGAGGCCCAAAGAGGCAAAGAGTGTGGGTGGCAGCAGTTCTGCATCCTGGCTAACTCAGCACTCTTCCACCCTCACTAAGAGCCCCATCACCCTCAAGCAGAGCCATGTTCAAATAGCTGGGAAGACCTGTGAGAAAGCAAGTTCTCAGCATCTCCTCAGACTCCTTACTAAGCCTTCCTGTTGATGTACCTTCCCTTTTCCACCCTGATTGTGAGCAGTCCTCTTCCCCCTCCTCCAGCCCCTGACTTCTGTGTTTGACCAAGGCTTGAGGATGCAGATGTGAAGGAGCCACATCCCAGCCTTCTCCAGAAATGCCCACAGTCTAATGAGGAAGAATGGATGAACCTGTCAATGGCAGGTGGCACACCGCAGTAGTAATAGGGCTGGTGGAGAATAAGAGCTGCTGTGTCAGGCATGTGCCAGGAGCCAGGCACAGAACTGAGAGTGGTAAAATATTTTTAACTTCTAGTTTTTATTTTTTGAATATTTAACAAGAAAAGCATTCAACCAAATTTTGTAAGTGAGGATGGAATAGTTTACAATAAAATAATCAACTTAAAATGTCAGTTCTTTCATGTAGGATCAAGAAGGCTAATAGTTTTCATTTATTTTTATTTTTAATGTTTATTGTCTATGCTATTACAGTTGTCCTACAGTTGTCCCACTTTCCCCCCTTGTCCCCCTCCACCCATAGTCAGTTTCCATCCATTGTTCATATCCATGGGTCCTTCATATATGTTCTTTGACTAATCCCTTCATCTTCTTTTTTAAAGATTTTATTTATTTATTTTTTAGAGAAGGGAAGGGAGGGAGAAAGAGAAGTAGAGAAACATCAATGTGTGGTTGCCTCTCACACGCCCCCTACCGTGGACTTGGCCAGAAACCTAGGCATGTGCCCTTGACTGGGAATGGAACTGGTGACCCTTTGATTCGCAGGCTAACACTCAACCAGTGAGCCACACCAGCCAGGGCCCTTCATCTCCTTTCAGCCAGTCCCCACCTCCTTCCTCTTCTCTTACTGCTGTCAGACTGTTCCATGATTCTGTGTCTCTAGATCTATTTTGCTCATTAGATTCCACTTATAAGTGAGATCACATGGTATTAACCTTTCACCAACTGGCTTATTTTACTTAGTATAATAGTCTCCAAGTGCATCCATGCTGTTGCAAAAGGTAGGAATTCCTTCTTTTTTACTGCTGTGTAGTATTCCATCATGCAAATATACCACAGTTGTTTTTATGCACTCATCTACTGATGGGCAACTAAGCTATTTCCAAATCTTGGATATTGCAGATAGCACTGCTATGAACATTGGGAACCATGAATTCTTTTGAATTGGTGTTTGGGGGTTCTTAGGGCATATTCCCAGCAGTAGAATTTCTGGGTTAAAAGGCAGTTCCACTTTTAGTTTTTTGAGGAAATTCCATGCTGTTTTTCACAGCGGCTGCATCAGTCTGCATTCCCACCAACAGTGCACTAGGGTTCCCTTTTCTCCAACACTTGTTGTTTATTGATTTATTAATGATAGCCACTTTGTTAAGTGTGAAGTGATATCTCATTGTGGTTTTAATTTGCACCTCTCTGATGGCTAGTGATTTTGAGCATTTTTTCATATGTCTCTGGATCATCTGTATGTCCTTCTTGGAGAAGTATCTATTTAGGTCCTTTGCCCATTTTTTAATTAGATTGTTTGTCTTCCTGATGTTGAGTTGTATATGTTGTTTATGTATCTTTGAATACATTTTGGAGAATTAACACCTGTCTGATGTATTGTTGGCAAATATGTTCTCCCATACTATTGGTTCCCTTTTCATTTTAATGATGGTCCCTTTAGCTGTGCAGAAGCTTTTAATTTGGTATAGTCCCATTTGTTTATTTTTCCCTTTATTTCCCTTGCTCTAGGATATGTATCAGCAAAAATATTGCTATACAAGATACCTGAAATTTTACTGCCTATGTTTTCCCATAGGATTTTTATGGTATCATGTCTTATATGTAAGCCCTTTATCCGTTTTGAGTTGATTCAAGTCTATGGTGTAAGTTGGTGGTCTAGTTTCATTTTTTTTGCATGTACCAGTCCAGTTCTCCCAACACTATTGAAGAGACTATTTTTACTCCATTCTATGCTCTTGCCTCCTTCATCAAATATTAATTGGCCATAAAGACATGGGTTTATTTCTGGGCTTTCTATCCTGTTCCATTGATCTGTGTGTTTGTTCTTATACCAGGACCAGACCGTTTTGATTACAGTGGCCTTGTAGTATAGTTTGATATCAGGCATTGGGATTCCTCCAACTTTGTTCTTCTTTCTCAAGATTGCTGAGGCTATTTGGTGTCTTTTTTGGTTTCATACGAATTTGGGAGATATTTGTTCTAGATCTGTGGAATATGCCATTGGTATTTTAATATAAATTGTACTGAATCTATAGGTTGCTTTGAGTAGTATGGACATTTTAATGAAGTTAATTCTTCCAATCCATAAACACGGCTATGCTTCCACTTACTCATATTTTTCTCAATTTCTTTCTTCAGTGTTCTATAATTTTCTCAGTATAGGTTTTCTACTTCCTCGGTTAAATTTATTACTATGTACTTTATTATTATTTTTTGTTGCAATAGTAAATGAGACTGTTTTCTTAGTTTCTCTTTCTGATAGTTCATTATTGATATATAAAAATACATTTTTGAATATTGACTTTGTATCTCACTACTTTGCTGAATTCATTTATTAGGTCAAGTAGTTTTTTGTGGAGCCTATAGGATTTTCTATATACAATATCATGTTGTCTGGGAATAATGACTATTTTACTTCCTTCTTTCCAATTTGAATGCCTTTTATTTCTTCTTCTTGTCTGATTGTTATGGCTAGGACTTTCAGTGCTATGTTGAATAAGAGTGGTGAAAATGGACACCACTGTCTTGTTCCTGATCTTAAGGGAAACACTTAGTTTTTGCCCATTGAGTATGAGTTGGCTGTAGGTTTTTCATATATGGGTTTTTTATTATGTTGAGGTATGCTCCCTCTGTTCCCACTTTGCTGAGTGGTATTTTTTTAAATCATAAACAGGTGCTGGATTTTATCAAATGCTTTTTCTACATCTATTGATATGATCATGTGATTTTTGTCTGTCATTTTATGTGAGGTATCACATTTATTGATTTGCAAATATTGTACCATCGTTGCATCCATGGAATAAATCCCACTTGATTATGGTATATGATCTTTTAAAGGTATTTTTAGGTCCAGTTTGCTAATATTTTGTTGAGAATTTTAGCATCTATGTTCATCAAAGAGATCAGTCTGTAATTTTCTTTCTTTGTTGTGTCTTTACCTGGTTTCAACAGTTTCCATTTAAATGAGAGAATTACAAAATTGATATTTTAGCCCAGATTTGATGGTATGGAAATACAAAAGTCCTACAAGTTTCACTGAGACCTTTCCTTCCCTCCAGTGTATAAGTTATACAATTTCTCCTTCATTCAGTACTTTATAAAAATCACCAGCTCTACTTTGAAATATACCTACGACTTTTCTGATGACAAGAAGTCTCTTAAAACCATTCTTATAGGACAAACTCTTACTCTTTTCTGTCATCTCCATGAGAAAAGTACTGTGGCAGCGTTTCCATTATACATCTGAGCACTGACACACAGTGAGGGCTCATCACTGGCTGAAAGACCAGAGACTGAGGCTTCTGAGATTTAAGTCCCAGTCTCTGGCTCAAAGACTAGGTGCAGTCTGCAGGTGGGGAAGTAATACTGCCTTGCAGTTTGTTGCCCGGTGTTGTGAACGTTGTGGCATGTAGTTTGTGCCGCGAATCTGCGTGTGGCGTGGAGTGGATGATGATCCACAGAGAGGCCTTCGTGTGGCCTGCCAGAGCCTAGCAGTGAGCCCACTGTGTTTCTCCTTTCCTGCCCTGCAGCTCCCTAAGGGCATGCAGTAGTGTGTGCAGGACATGGGCGCTCAGGCATTATCCAAGACGGAGCTTTCTTGGAGGTGAGGAATGGGTACTTGGTCGATCTTTGTGGAGGCTTTGCAGTGAGCTCAGCCACCCTCTTATGGAGGCCTGTCTTCTCCCAGGATGCCCTGGACCTGACCCCAGTCTCTCCACTCTTCTCCTGCAGGGAGCCGGGAGGCTGCCTTCACATACGCCATCATAGCTGCCGGTGTGGCGCACGCCATCACAGCTGCCTGCACGCAGGGCAACCTGAGTGACTGTGGCTGTGACAAGGAGAAGCAAGGCCAGTACCACCGGGACGAGGGCTGGAAGTGGGGTGGCTGCTCTGCCGACATCCGCTACGGCATCGGCTTCGCCAAGGTCTTTGTGGATGCCCGGGAGATCAAGCAGAATGCCAGGACTCTCATGAACTTACACAATAACGAGGCAGGCCGCAAGGTAGGCAGCCAGGGAGGGGCGCTGGCAGCTGTAGCAGAGATGCTTCAACACACTTTATTCCTAAGGCTGGTGTCGGGTCTCTGTTAATGAGCCACAGAGCTTTGCCCTTAGCTCGGTTCTGTCATCAATTTGCTGCTAGTCAGGATCAGTGTATGGCACGAAGCTTGTCAGTTAGAAGAGAGGTTGAATAACTGAATCTGTTAAAACAAATTGGATGTTATTCTGCAAGATGGAAGTGGGGACGCATGTGAACGCTTATCTTTGGGTGCACAAATCAGCTGTACAAAACCCTGATTGTGGGGAGGGGTTGAGATCAGTTCAGTAGGAGTCATCCCTATGGAGCAGGGCTGCTAACCTGTCATTGATCACCTCAGCCAAAACCTGGAGCTCAAAATAAAGGAGGTGACAATACCCTTTTTACTGCCTCCTCAGATCCGGGGAGATCTGAGCTCAGATTGGAAGAGAGCTAGGGATGTTCTAGAATATTTGCAGTGAATATGACTGGGATAGAAAGGGGGCTGAGTGATTAATGGGAATCTGACTGTCCTAAGGCAAGGGAGCAGATGGGTCTGCTGGCCCCCAGCCCAGAGTGAGGGCCCATGGGGTGAGGGTATCCCAGAGAGGCAGGTCCAGCCAGTGTGAGGACAAGCCACAGCCATGAGATACAGTGAGTTACCAAGAAAGAAGTGAGCTCTTTATCCCAGGAAGTGTTTGGGTAGAGGCAGCTTTGCCAGGCATCTCAGAGTACCCAAGTCCATGCTTCCTAACTCCAGTGCCCTGAGCTGCAGCCTCAGGTTGGGTGTGGGTTCTTAACTGCCTTTGAAGGCTGAGGTGCTCAGAACCCATTCTGGAATCCCCAGGCCCAGGAGGTGTGTTTGGTGAGGAAAAGCTCAGATGCCAGGTGAGAGCTCTGTAGAGAAGTATCTGTGAGCCAGGTCAGACAGAGAAGGAGGGCTTATTGCTGCCTGGGTGCGGGGCAGACAACTGTAGTGACAGGACTTGTGCTGACACCACTGGGGGCCACAAATACAGGTGCCCAGGGGGGCTGAGCAGGAGCAAGAGTGACAAAGGCCTAGGAAACCGTGCACAAGGCTATGTCAGACCAGGGCATACAGACAACCCACTTGACTGCAGCCACAGTTGCTGTGCAGGAACGCCAGCCCACTGTAGCCAAACGTTCTGATTTTAGACTCAGGTGTTTATGTATAATCACTTCATTTTTTAAAAAGCGTTGGTATTCCAAACTGATAGTCACTAGTAGAAAAGGTAAAAAAAAAATTCCAGAGGCTCAAACATATAAATCTACTGGCTAAGTGTGGGCTGTGAGCTGCGCCACTTGGGTGACAGATGTATTAAGTGGCACGGATCTTGTTCTGCTAGAGCCTGTCTGTGGGCCAAAGAGCCTTCTAGCTCTGGATAAATCAGATCACTTAATTCTCAAGGCATCTCAAAGAACAACAGCATCATTATCCCCATTTTACAGGCAAAGAAACTGAGGCACAGAGTGGTTAAGTAATGTGCTGAGGGTCCCACAGTTAATAAGCAATGCCGGAATAAGAATCAAGCACGCCTGGCTCTCAAGCTGGCATTCTTTGCTCCCCACATGCTGTTGTGGCGTGGTGGTCAGAGGTCTGCCTGTGGGCTGGCACTGGCCGCCCGGGTTCGGATCTCAGCTTTGTCACTCATTCCTACCCAGGAAGGAAGTAGAGCTGGCAAGAGTGTCCTCAGGGCTGAGGTGAGGACTGAAGGAGACAAGGCAGGAGAGCACTTACTTCGGGGGCGGCACACGATTAGTTCGCATCGCAGGGTGGCTATAATTCCAAGTATTGAGAATGCGTCATGCGGGAAGGAGCCCGTCTGGTAAGTGGTGCTGCGGAGTAGCCTGTATACCTTGGAGGGGAGCAAGGTCCCCAAACTGCAGCTGAATGGGAAGGAATAGCCGGCCCTTCCTCCCGTCCTCAGGTGGCCCGCCTCCCACCTGTTCACTAGCCTCTGGCCGCATTCTGTGTGTAAGAGCCTCCCAGGAGTCCACGGTGAGTCAACACCTGCAGAGCCGTGCATCTGGCTTGCCTCAGGATGATGTCTTGGGGTAAATTGCTAGGCCCTCCCTAGCCCTACCTATTGAGTCCTGTGGCTGGGAGCTCCTGCCCACGGTCAGCAGTCCCTCCAGCTGTGCATTTCCTCCTGGTTTCTGTAGTCAGATCACTCCTTAGGGTCACAGGCTCCCTCCTGCCCTTGAAGCTCTCAGTCCCTGGGGACAGAAAAAAGCAAGACAGGTGGCTTCCTTCTTTCAGCCTCAGTTTTCTCATCTGTGGCTACCTGGTAGGGCCACTGTGAGAACTGAAGAAGAGAATTCCTAGCTCGAGGTAAGAAAGATTCTGTGTACATCAAGTAGGATAGGGTTTCACAAGCCACACGGCTCCAGGGTGTGATGGCTGTGGCTGCTGCTCAAGGTAGCGCTAGGGCGGTGCAGATGCTGGAAGCTGTCAGATGTCATAAGACCAACCTCGGGGGCTTCCTGCCAGAGGGGTACCCCCAAAGACAAGTGAGGTTTAGTTAGGCAGAGAAGAGAGGTGAAGGCAACCCAGGTCTGGGTTGGGGAGGTAGGGTCCAAAATCCCAGAGATGGGGGCTTGGGGCAAGTTCAGGGGCCCAAACCGGCTGGTCTGTGGGTCCCCGATAGGGTAGCAGCAGCTGTAGAGCAAGGTCACCTGCCAGGCCAGTGAGTGAGAGCCTTGGTCCACGCATGCCCCACCCCACCCCCAACATCTTCCTGTGGCTGCTCTTCAGGTTTCGGCTCAGATGCCCCCTCCTCAGACAAGCCTCCTTTTCCATTCTTTCCTAGCATTTTCTTGGATGTCATTTTGTTCCTGGGCTTGCCACCTTCCCGCCTCACTCCACACCAGATCGTAAGCCTGAAGGGCACAAGGGACCGCATGGGTCTCATTCACAGCTGCACCCCAGAGGCTGGCGTACAGCGTTGATCTGTATATGTAAAGAGTGAATGGTTTTGTACCTTACGGTCACTGCGGGACCACTGATGGTTCAGGAACAGGAAAGGGGAGAGATCGTAGACACTCACTCTCGGAAGGGCATAGTGAGGCCCTGGGTGGGGGGTGAAGACTGAGCGCAGGCCGGGCTCTGCCAGCACAGGGAACCCAGCTGAGTGCATCTCCCCGACCTGCCCAGTTCCATTCTGGTTTGTGCGGATGCTTGTGGGTGGCTTCCTAGACAGCAGTTCAACCAGAGCCAAGAGCTGGAATTTGGGACTCCCAGACATACAGAAAGAAGAAAAGGCCTGACCAACTGCAGTTCTGGCCTTTTTGTGGTGTGGGGTCCCCACTGGCCCTCAGACACCTAGGGAAGTGACCACACTGCTCAGCCAGATCACAGCAGGAAGGTGGTCCCCCAGCCTGGCCCTGTCTGCTACAGAGCACCCTGAAGACCCAGATGCGTATCCAAGTGGCCAGGAGCAAGGACAGCCACCTAGCCTGGGGTAGAGAAGGCTTAGTGTATATCAGTTCAGAGTCCCATCCCTACTTGGGGCCTCAGTCTCCCCATCTGTCAAATGAGGACTATAACCCTCAGTTTGCTCTGGGTCCCAGGTACTGATCAGGGTCAGGTGAGGCCATACACAGAAGGCCCCCCGGGATCATGCCGTGTGCTGTTTATTTGAAGGCATGGGCCGCCACCCCAGAACGTCCCCCACAGTAGGCTTCCATGGGCCCCACGCGCTCACACAGCAGAGGTGGGGAGCCGGCAGCAGAAAAGAGGCCAGCCCGCAGCCACTCCTAGCTGGCGTCTTGGAAAGGATCACAGATGTGTTTATCACTGGCTCCCTCGCTCCGGCTGTGCGGAGACAAGACTCAACCTGACCACAGGCTCTGGGGCTTGTTGGCAGCTGGAGTGAGGAAAGGAGGAGGCAGGAGAAGTCGGGTGGGGGGCGGTGGTGCGGCGTGCGCGCGGAGGGACAGAGGTGGTGGCAGGCCCAGTGCGGGGAAACCTGGAGCAGCCCACTGACCCCTCTCCCAGGTGGGGAGAATAAATGCCGTGGGCACATCCTGCCATCACAGGTCTCCAGTTTCCTGGGGCAGAACCAGGGCCTGGCCTGTGGAAGTGGACCACGGGGCTGGGGAGGTGGGGCACCTCTGTGGGCCCACCAGCCTTTCCTCCCCTCGTTGTCTCATGCAATTGTGCGGTCTTCGGGGTCAAATCGGAATGACTAGGTGAGCAGATAGAAATTATAGTCTTTCCCTATTGAAATTTTAGGGCCATAATGTTTTTTTGGATTGAGATCACAGAGATCACAGACTGTTCAGGTTGGGAATGTGGAATATTAGGTTCACATTCCCACATGTGGGATTTGGGATCATAGGGTCTTTGGTAGGAAGGGAGAGAGACATCCGAAGTGTCAAGTCAAAAACTTTGGATGGTAGAATCACTGTGGCTTTGAATGACTTCTTTCCAGGCTTTTTGGCAGTGGGAAGGTGAGCAAACCATGATTCTTGCCCTCAGGGTGCTCATCTAGTGAAAGAGTCAGATAAGAGGAGCAAAAATTATGATTCAGGCTCACACCACAGGGGAAATGCCACACAGAAGGCTCAGGAGAGCCTGGAGGATGGAGTGCTTTCCTTGGGGAGAAGTCTGGAGACATCTAGGGGAGGAAGAAGGGCCCACTAGAAAGGCTTTGAAGGATGAGTAGGAGTCCCCCAGGTGGGCAAGAGAGGTGGAAAAGAAAAGGGCAGTTCAGGCAGAGGGAAGTCCTAAAAACACATGGTTGGGCAGTGGGTTGGGGGAGCTCCATGTGTCACAGTCCCATTTGACAGATGGGGACACTGAGGCCCCAAGTAGGGATGGAACTCAGAACTGATATACACTCAGCCTTAGTTATCCCAGACTAGGTGGCTGTTCTTGTTCCCAACCACTTGGGTGTGTGTCTGCGTCCTCAGGTTGCCCTGTAGCAGAAGGTGAGGGTCTGACCTCCCCAGAGCTGGGCTGAAA